CTCCTGCCTCAGCCTCCTGAGTAGCTGGGACTACAGGCACGCGCCGCCATGCCCAGCTAATTTTTTGTATTTTTAGTAGAGACGGGGTTTCACCATGTTGACCAGGATGGTCTCGAGCTCTTGACCTCGTGATCCACCCGCCTCGGCCTCCCAAAGTGCTGGAATTACAGGCTTGAGCCACTGCGCCCGGCCAAGACCCTGTTTCTTAAGAAAAAACAAAATTAATTAAAAACGTAAAAATCTGAACTGCCGTAGTACATATAACTTTTAAGCATGAGGCAAAAGAACTTGAAACTGTATCAAATAATCAGTTCACAGAGAACACAAGATAGGTAATACCTACAAGTTAACATCAACCATATAAAACCCACATTCCGAGTAGATGCAAAAAACTTCATTTGCACGAGGTGCAACCAGCAAGCATGGAAAAGACCACGTGCGGTCAAACTGTCAGAAAACACTTTACCCTCGCCTGTACACACCCACCCGCACACCCCGTGCTGTTTCTCCGGTCCCAGTCCTGGCTCATATCCTTCCCCTCTCCCCGCAAAAACCCTTCCCTTCCCTCACAGGGTTGACCGCCCCCATCAAACTCTGACAGCAGCTCTTCCGAGTGAGGGCTCCCCAAGAGCCCGGTGCCGCAAGCAGAGCTCTACTCTACCCCGCCCTGATTCGTCTCTCCTCCAGCCACTTTCAGCGCGGGCAGACAGGCCTTCACAGCCTTCTAAGTCCGGGGTCGGATACCAGGCTGGGCTCCACCCCCGCACTGTGACCCAGAAACGCTGGTAAATGAATGAGAGGAGGAGGAGGCACACTGGAAGGCAGCGGATCCGGAGATGCTCGGCCTCGCATCCCAGACACAGGCTGTGGAGGGGAAGCGAAGGCTGGGCAGGGCAGAGCGAGAGTCCCGTTCGTCCCCGTTCCCACAAGCGCGGCCCTCCCGGACAGGGCCGGCCTCGGCCCTCACTCCCGCAGAAGGGGTCGCCCAGTACCCGCGGCTCTCGGCTCTCGGCGGTCCAACCTCCTCGACCCAAAAGGGACTCGTCCCGGGAGACTTACACTTCCATGACGTCCCGCGTCGTCGCCCCCCGGCTGCCAGCGGACAAGGAACCGCACACCCCACAGCTGCCCCTCCGCCGCCGCCGCCGACCGCGCCAGCCAGCCAGCTCCGCGCGCCGCGGTGCACGCCGGGAGCTTGGCGGACCCGGAACCTCTTGCTGCCCGCCCGGTCCCTTTTCGGGGGGCCGGGGAGGGTCGCTGTGTCCTTCGCCCAGGACTTCGCTTCAGACTGCTAAGAGCTTGCGGGCAGGACTATCTCGTGTTTTCTTTTTTTGAGGTGGAGTCTCTCTGTCGCCCAGGCTGGAGCGCAGTGCTCCGATCTCAGCTCACTGTAACCTCCGCCTCCCGGGTTCAAACGATTTTCCTGCCTCAGCCTCCCCAGTAGCTGAGACTACAGGCCCCCGCCACCCCGCCCGGCTAATTTTTGTATTTTTAGTAGAGACGGGGGTTTCACCATTTTGTCTAGGCTGGTCTCGAACTCCTGACCTCAGGTAATCCGCCCACCTCAGCCTCCCAAAGTGCTGGGATTACAGGCGTGAGCCACTGCGCCCGGCAGTCTAGGTTTTAAGAAAGTAATTAATCAGCTAAAGTTGCGAGAAGTGATGGGGTTACAAGGTCTTTGCGTGTTAAAATCCCACCCCTCAGAGAGTAGTGAGGCTGGTGGCATCTGGGGTGCCAGAAACGTTGTAGTTTATTTATTTATTTATTTGTTTATTTATTTATTTATTTTTGGTAGAGATTGGAATCTCACTATGTTGCCCAGGCTGGCCTTGAACACCTGGCCTCAAGTGAGACTCCACCTCCACCTTCCAAAGTGCTGGGATTGCAGGTGTGAGCCACTGCAACAGCTCTGTTCCCTTTTTTGTAAATCATAAGTGTGTAGGTAATCCTTATAAAGAGCCTGGCACTTTATCAATTACTGTGGCAGTACAACCATGACTGTCTATGAAGTAGATTCCATTATTATTCACATCTTATAATTGAAGAAACTGAGGCAGTCTTGGAGAGATTATGATTTGCCAAGAGTCATTCATCTAGGAACTTGTCCAGTGGGTGTTGAACCCAAGACAATCTGAACAAATACAAGACATGCATTAACTAGTGACTAATAATTGGATGAATAAAATGTTCTGCATTTGTACAATGGAAAACTACAAAAAGGAGGCCAGGCTTGGTCCCAACACTTGGAGAGGCAGAGACAAGAGGATTTCTTGGAACCAGGAGTTCCGGATCAGCCTGGGCAACATTGCCAGACTCCCTCTCTAGGAAAAGTTAGCCAAGTGTGGTGGTGAGCACCTGTAGTCCCAGCTACTAGGGAGACTAAGGCGGGAGAATCACTTGAGCCTGGGAGGTCCAGGCTGCAGGGAGCTATGATCATACCACTGCACTCCAACCTACAGAGTGAGAGACTTTGTTGCAAAAATATAGATAGATACATGCTACAACATGGATAGCCCCCCAAAACATGATGCTATTAATAAGTGAAAGAAGCCAGACGCAGAATAATACATATCGCTCTGCCCAGCGGCTCACACCTGTAATCGGAAGTTGAGGTGGGTGGATCATGAGGTCAGGAGTTCAAGACCAACCTGGCCAACATGGTGAAACCCCATCTCTACTAAAAATACAAAAATTAGCTGGGCATGGTGGCAGATGCCTGTAATCCCATCTACTCAGGAGGCTGAGGCAGGAGAATCACTTGAACCCAGGAGGCCGAGGTTACAGTAAACCAAGATCATGCCACTGCACTCCAGCCTGAGCGACAGAGTGAGACTGTCTCAAAAAAACAAACAACAAAACCAAACAATACATATCGTGTGATTCACTTTATATGGAAAGTCTGAGAAGAGGCCAATCTCTGCATACTGGAAGAAGGCTAGGAGAAGGCTTGGGGTCAGGGATGGGAAGTGACTGTTAGTAGGTATGGAGTTTCTCTTCGGGAAACAAGAATGTCCCGAAATTATTATAGATGGTGGTGTTGGTTGCACAACCCTATGAATATACTGAAAACATTGAGTAATACACTTTAAATGGCAAATTTTACAGCATATGAATCCTGTATTAATAAAGCTGTTCAACATTTTTTACTTGGCTGAACATGGTGGCTCACACCAATAATCCCAGCACTTTGGAAGATGAAGGCAGGTGGATCGCTTGAGCCCAGTTTGAGACCAGCCTGGGCAACATGGCGAACCTCATCTTTACAAAA